TCCCCACGGGAGGGAGGGCAGAAGGGTGTGAGCGAGGTTGCGTGAACGGGGCCGCGGCGCAGGAGCCGCTCGGCGCTCCGGGGCCTCGCGCTCCTCCGCCGTTCGTTCCCATAAACCGTGACGCCGCAGAGGAAGTCGCTGTAAAAGGAAGCAAGCTGCCAAATAGATGGTTGCTAATTGCTCTCTCTAAAAGCCAAAACATCCAAAGTGGGGTTCTGGGGCTTTGTGCCTCTCACTCGATGCAGAAATGTAATGATTGGGATGATGCAATAGGGTTGTAAAGTTTCTGGATGACGCAATGCTGGGAGGGATTGAAAGGAATCCGAGGGGAAAGGGCTGAATTTCCAAAGCAGCGTGATAAACTGGAAGACTTATGCTAAAGAGGAAATTTAGTAGATAGAATTAAAACTAATACATTTAGAAGGAAGGAGTCAAATGCATAAACACAAGATGGAGAATAGCTGACCAGGCAACAGGACAGGACAAAAGGAAACCGCGGTTTGTAATGGATCATAAACTGAATGCAAGTCAAAAATGTGTTTTTGCAAAAAAAAAAAAAAAAAAAGGCACATCTCATTTTAGGATATAGTGATAGAAGTCTGACACGTAAGAAATGGGGAAAGAAAGTAGTTATTTAAGCTAGCAGACAATAGTGCACAAGAACAAATAGGTACAAATTAGCCAAGAATAAATTAGAGGTTTCTAGCTAACACAAGAGCAGGGTCCTGGTAATGACAAGAGAAAAATAAACCTGTGTGCTTGAAAGGGATAAGTATATTTCTTTTCCTTCTTCTGTTGTCTGGAGAATATTTTCTACCCGAACAAGGCACATACAGGAATCAAGTAAGGCAAGCCTTGCCATAGCAGCAGTGAGGACAAGTGACTTAACTGATTTTAAGGTAGAGCTTGCCAAATATATGAATAAGATTACGTGGTATGGTTGTCCTTCATACCAGGCAGCAGGATTTGATCATCCAAAAGTTTCTTCACACTCCTGTGTCACTAGTTTAGACGTATGCAGCATGAAAAGGGTAAAACATTAAAAAAATAAAAGTTAAACGATTTGGTTAAAGGTAGCAAAATGTTCTCTGTGCTGATGTTATCCTTTCAGTGAGAATAACTTTATTCAGATAGCAAGTACAACATTAAACAACAGCTTTTCAACAGTGGTGTGCACTGAAAATAGTTTAGTCACGGTAATGATTTTGGGGAGCATGTGGCTTGTGAACGGAGTCAGATTACAAAATATATTAAAGTCAATTTTTATAAATCCTGTCATTTTAGACAAGGTATTGCCCTACTGTGGATCTCTGGATGCTGCCACGTAGAAGCTTTTGATTTTATCCTAACTATTTCTCATTTCCTAACTATTTCTCACTTCCTTGAGCTGCAGGTGTGGAAAAGGTTGGAACAGCATCTTTGCCTTTTTGCACAGAAGACTTCCCATTTCTGACCCATGTCCTTGTTACTTAACTTAAGAACTAGCTTGTGAAAAGAACTCTTTTGGCCAAGTAAAAGGGTTTTTGGTAGCGATATTAAGCAAAAAAAAAAAAAAAGGCATCCAGCAGAAAACAGTAACACTTGTTCATACACGCAGGTATGTGTATTTGTATATATGTAGGCATGTATGCATACATATATAGATAGGTACGTGTGTGTGTGTGTGCGTGTGCGTGGGATTGGTTTGAAGACTAGGGTTGGGGCTTTCCTAATGATTTGCAGGTTTTAGGGAAACTAACGGAGCTTTTATTCTAGCCATCTCCTCACTAAAGCTACGAGATGCTCCTGAGTCCAGTCCTTTTTACCAGTGGTACCTTTCATTTCATTTATGATTTGTATCTTCATGAAGAACACTTTGCTGGGAAATATCTTTAAAATGGCATCTGAGAGAGACCACTTAGCTATCAATATATAGCACTGGTTCTTAAATTCGGAGAATGAATCGGAAATGTCAGACTTGTAAATAATATATACAAACAGTATAGTTTAGCCGACAGATTCTCAGACTTCTCCTCAGGCTATAACCATTACTAGTAATGGTGGGAGTGTGTATCAATGTTACCAGGAGCAGCAGCAGCTTCCTGCTCTGTACCAGACTTTGTAGCCCTTGTACGGAGTGTTTGTACCACTAGTAGTATTTGTATCACAGTTCAGGAACCTGTGTTTTAATCACTTGGCTCATGAAAAATACTAATATGCTGGACACAGTTTGCCGTGTTATCAAAGGGATGGAAATGAAAAATATGTACCAGCATCCTATTATACATATGTAATGGACTGAAGATACTGATTTGCTTTGCATAATGAGTCCAATGTGGACACACACTTCCAATTTTCTCCTTCAGAAGTTTTTTTAATATATATGTTGCAAATATTTCTTCCCTCTCTCTCTTCAATCTTCAGCTAACGCGCTATGTGACTTTGATGCATTAGATTTAATTCACCTTTTGAATATTATTTTTTCCTCTTTTAGCTCCGGCTCGTGAATGATCAGGAGGAGAAATTAGAAGCGTGCTTTATTCACCAGCCCTTAGTTAGAATATGGGACTAATGATGGTAAAGTCAAATACTTGTGAGGGATTCGTGATGGAAGCTTGAATCGTTTGTCAAATGTAGGTTTACTGCATGTCTAGAATAGTCTATGAAGTATATGTTGTCAGAGACTGTAGTCTTTTTAGCTGAGCAGTTATCAACTGGGCTAGTCTAGAAAGTGGCAAAACCGTTGCTGTACGAAGAAGCTGGAAACACTGCTGACGTACTTCACAAACTGAGCAAATTACTGATGTTCAAGCTGGTTTCCCGGGAGCTAATAAGAAATATTATTTTGCAACGTGTTTATGTATTTAGTGAGAAGAGGGACAGGCACAAAAACTACTTCAAGTCTCTTGTCAGTTAAAGATAACTTTCTGAATA